AAAAAATATTCCTGGCACAAAAAACTTTTCCCCATTTGATTAGTCACGTCCCCCACCCCTCTTACATTCTTTGCTTTCCACTTTGAATTTTTTATTCTCACAAAAAATAGAAGATTTACTGTTATGCAGACTACTGCATTAGTGTAGAAATGGTATAAATAATATCAGAGCACTTGTGAAAGAATATTAGACTCACCAGTTGACATGTATTGGACGCTTAGCATGATTTGTTTACTTTTGAACTTTGGTAAAAATCGAACATTTCTGCTACTTTGAGCTCAATTTCAAGGTACTGTACTTTTCACTGTAAAACCAGTCAAAATCAATTCAATTTCTGTAATATGTCTTCCATTCTATAAAATGTGACCAGGAAAACTAGAATACAACAATAAATACCATACGAAAATACAGTGCAAATTCGCTGTTTTAATCCAAAAACATGGTCAAAGTTTTTTTTTCTCATTACGCACTGTGTGCTGCAGGATTTTTTTTATACTGCGCACACTGACCACATAGACCCATTCTTTCATATGTAGGCCTACCAGCTTTCTCTCACTAGATTTGAGGGCGCTAGAATTTAGGCGTACTAGTACGTCAAAAACCCTGGTGCGTAAGCCGTACCAGTACGTCCAAAACCCTGAAAGGGTTAAAGCTCCCTAGAGCGATAAAATGCACACACAGTACACGTATTATTTACCTTAAAAAATTTGTAGTCTTAATAGTCTTAATGTAAGGTGAGAGGTGAAAAGTATTTATTTGTAGAAAGTCATGTGGGAGGTATGGCATCCTGCCTGGCCACTTATACCTACTATGACATTAAGCTCCCTAAAGCTATAAAATGCATATATAGTACACTCATTAATTACCTTAAAATATTTGTAGTCTTAATGTAGGGTGAGGTGAGCTTTATTTTGTATGAAGTCAGGTTGGGAAGTATGGGCAGCCAGGAAGGGCAGCCCAATCCCACCCACACATAATGTTAAACAAACCAGACAAATGCATCTGGTTTTCGTTACTACATTGTGTACAAGTTGTCTCCATGTTGATACAGTAGAATAAATAGAGAGAAACACTCACATTCTCATGTAACACCATTTTTAGAAGAAATGAAACCCTGAGTGAAGGCATATGAAAGGAATAATTTTCTAGTTACCCCCAGTAATATTATAGTGACACATTTTCTCTGATGTTGAACTACAAGTTGCCTGGCTACCACAAGTCCTACAAGTTGCCTGGCTACCACAAGTTGCTTGGCTACCACAAGTCCTACAAGTTGCCTGGCTACCACAAGTTGCCTGGCTACCACAAGTCCTACAAGTCGCTTGGCTACCACAAGTCCTACAAGTCACCTGGCTACCACATCTCATATTTATGTTAATTTATTCTACTGTGGGGTGTATTTAGATGGATTAAGCAAAATGTCTATTTTAACGTTTTATATGATATTTAGTGCTCCTTAGAGGGATTATTATTGTGTTATTATTATCATTATTAATATGGCATCTTCAAGACTAATAAGACACTCTTAGTGATTTTAATGTGTACCTGCATGCCAGCACAGTGTGTAAGTTTACTTGGGTACAGGTACACATACATACAATTATCAGTTATAATAATAATGTAGGCATGTAGTCCACATGGGCTACATACCTACACCTACCTACATAGCTACACGATATTTAATGTGGTCCAGAGACATATTATTACCATCGACATACCATGTTCACCGAGTTTAATCGTTTCTATCAACTACCTTTAGATGCCATCATAAACAAATGGAGAAGTAATGAATAATTCATGCCAAGAATTGTAAACAAAAGCGTTATGTATTGAGAGGAATAACGTAATGTTTTCCCTCCGCCCGGCTACCACACCTCCTTAGTATATAAACAAAAAATATTTATGTGTTATAATAAATATAATACTAGATGGATTAATGAAAATGTCTATATTAACGTAAAATAAGACATTTAATGTGCCCAAGAGTGATTACAGTGGACCCCCGGTATTCGATGACACCTGTATTCGATAAATCCGGTTTTCGATGCAAAAAATTTTCCTCGGTATTCGATACGATTCGTACGAGACCTGTCCATGTGTGGCCTGAACTGCCCCGTATGTGCCAGTGTTTACAAGCCAGCCAGTGTGCGCGCATCTAAGGATACATTCGGTACATTCCAAATTATCCATATTATCACTGTTTGGTGCTTGTTTCTGCCAAATAAGTCACCATGGGCCCCAAGAAAGCTTCTAGTGCCAACCCTTCGAGAAAAAAGTCACTAATGACTTATGAAATGAAGAAAGAGATAATTGCAAAGTACGAAAGTGGAGTGCGTGTGTCAGAGCTGGTCAGGTTGTATAATAAACCCCAATCAACCATCTCTACTATAGTGACCAGGAAAACGGCAATCAAGGAAGCTGTTCTTGCAAAAGGTGCAACTGTGATTACGAAACAGCGACCGCAAGTGTTAGAAAATGTTGAGAGATTGTTATTGGTGTGGATAAATGAAAAACAGATAGCAGGAGATAGCATCTCTCAAGCGATCATTTGTGAAAAGGCTAGGCAGTTGCATGACGATTTGGTAAAGAAATTGCCTGCAACTAGTGGTGATGTGAGTGAATTTAAAGCCAGCAAAGGTTGGTTTGAAAGATTTAAGAATCGTAGTGGCATACATAGTGTGATTAGGCATGGTGAGGCTACCAGTTATGTTGTGCGACAGAAGTCCAGTGACTCTCAAGCTGGTCCTAGTGGCATTAAAAGAAGAAGGGAAGTAACCCCGGAAAAGGACTTGCTACCTCAAGCCCTAATGGAAGGGGATTCCCCTTCTAAACACTAACACCTCTCCCCTCCTCCCATCCCATCAATCATCACCAGATCTTCATTAAAGGTAAGTGTCAATTATTTTATTGTTATTGTAATTATTCTATTGCATTAAACTTAATATTTCATGTAGTAAAAATTTTTTTTCATACTTTTGGGTGTCTTGCACGGATTAATTTGATTTCCATTATTTCTTATGAGGAAAACTGATTCGGTTTTCGATATTATCGGTATTTGATGAGCTCTCAGGAACGGATTAATATTGAATACCGGGGGTCCACTGTATTATTAGTATATTACGTAATGTTTTCCCTCTACCCGGCAACCACACCTCCATAGCATATAAACAGCATGTTTATATGCTATGTAACATGTTTCTTATATATATATTTTTTTTATTAACACACTGGCCAATTCCAACCAAGGCAGGGTGGCCCGAAAAAGAAAAACTTTCACCATCATTCACTCCATCACTGTCTTGCCAGAAGGGTGCTTTACACTACAATTTTTAAACTGCAACATTAACACCCCTCCTTCAGAGTGCAGGCACTGTACTTCCCATCTCCAGGACTCAAGTCCAGCCTGCCGGTTTCCCTGAACCCCTTCATAAATGTTACTTTGCTCACACTCCAACAGCACGTCAAGTATTAAAAACCATTTGTCTCCATTCACTCCTATCAAACACGCTCACGCATGCCTGCTGGAAGTCCAAGCCCCTCGCACACAAAACCTCCTTTACCCCCTCCCTCCAACCTTTCCTAGGCCGATCCCTACCCTGCCTTCCTCCCACTACAGACTGATACACTCTTGAAGTCATTCTGTTTCGCTCCATTCTCTCTACATGTCCGAACCACCTCAATAACCCTTCCTCAGCCCTCTGGACAACAGTTTTGGTAATTCCGCACCTCCTCCTAACTTCCAAACTACGACATGACATCTCCACTGCCTCCAGCCTTCTCCTCACTGCAACATTCATCACCCATGCTTCACACCCATATAAGAGCGTTGGTAAAACTATGCTCTCATACATTCCCCTCTTTGCCTCCAAGGACAAAGTTCTTTGTCTCCACAGACTCCTAAGTGCACCACTCACCCTTTTCCCCTCATCAATTCTATGATTCACCTCATCTTTCATAGACCCATCCGCTGACACGTCCACTCCCAAATATCTGAATACATTCACCTCCTCCATATTCTCTCCCTCCAATCTGATATCCAATCTTTCATCATCTAATCTTTTTGTTATCCTCATAACCTTACTCTTTCCTGTAGTCACTTTTAATTTTCTTCTTTTGCATACCCTACCAAATTCATCCACCAATCTCTGCAACTTCTCTTCAGAATCTCCCAAGAGCAAAGAGCAACTGTGACAATTCCCACTTTGTGTGTGATTCTTTATCTTCCAACTCCACGCCTCTTGCCAAGACCCTCGCATTTACTTCTCTTACAACCCCATCTATAAATATATTAAACAACCACGGTGACATAACACATCCTTGTCTA